GACCTCGAGCTCGCCGACGATGGTCGCCGCATCGTTCGTCACAAAGAGCTTCTCCAGGTGGTTGATGACCATCTTGTTCATTCCATTGGGGCCGAGAGAGGTCCGGACGCATGAGGAGAGCTGCTTCGCAGCCTCGATGTTCTTAAAGGTGGCCTCCTCCAGCCCGCTCAGGTGCTTGGTGCCCTCCTTGAGCATGCCCTGCACGCCGAAGGAGCCTCCTGTCAATGAGCGCGCCATTTTGCTTGCCGTGCAACGCCGGCGTTGGTTGTTGCCGCGTTGCTGGCTGCTCGAGGCCAACGGCGCGCCACGGAATTCTTTTGCTTGGACTGCCGTGATCTGTGATCTGTAAGGGTCCGCCCGCAGGCGCATTTTGTATACCGAGGCGGTGCCCAGTGCCGAGCGCAGGCAGAGCCCACAGGTCGGACCTTAAGACAGCATTGTAGATCCCTGGGCGAGGGTGGTGGCGTGCCGTGGTAATTGCCAATCAGCGCCAGTTCGCGCCTTGTCGTGCCAGTGTGCCTGCGAGAATTGGCCAGAGACTGCGAAGAGAGATAGGAAGAGACAGACGCCCAAGGGTGGGTGGGCGACGGCTAGCACCACACTCCTCTCCTTAAAATCCCTGTGTGGTGGCGGCGTGCCGTCCTCCCATCCGCAGCCCTCCCTTGCTTGCTTGCTCGTTGCCGCGTTGCTGGCTGCTCGAGCCCCAACCCTACTCTGTGAATTCGCGGAGCGAAGAAAATTTTATACGGAATACGTCGCTTTTGGGAAAGCTTTTGTAATACTCGAGTACGGTGGAAAAAAGTCTATACGTGTTCCACTCTTCCCGCAATCACGACCGCGCGACAGTTGCGCAAGCATGACAGGCCCTCAAGCGCGGCTGCTTGGTACTTGCGGGTGCAGGCCGCCGTGATTGTGGACCGCCAGTCGAAGACGCTGCTGACCGACGAGACCTTGCAGCGGCTGCGGGCGCTGCGGCAGCGGCAGTGGCAGAAGGCGGCGGCAGACTTCAACAAGCGCCAGGACGCAGCAAGTGCGCGAGCCGACGCATCAATCGCAGCATGGCTCGCGGCTCACAAGGAGCGCGTCGCGCTCGGCATGACGACCGACGGTGGGACCACCACCGACCACTGCGACACCGAAGGTATGACCGAGGAGGTTGCGGCCGAGAACGCACCACCGCCGTGAACGGAAACGGCTACGTTTGGGCCGAGAGCTACGGCGGCCGCCCCGGCTGGGTTCTCTGCATGGAGTAGGGCCAGGAGCCGCCGGCGTCAGGCGTGCGAGGCCCGGCTCTTGCGCACAGAAGCGAGCGGAGCGAGCCGAAGAGAAAAAAAATTGAGGTACTTGCATGTAGAGCTCTAGGGAGGGGTGCAAGAAATGTGAAACATGCGGATTCGCGAAACGCCTACTTTTTTCGCGAGCCACAGGCGCTCGCCCTGTGAGCCACAGCGCCTCCGGACAGCGTGCCGAGCGCCTGCTACAGGCCTGCCTGCAGCCCAGCCGCACTCGCTGCGGCGGCAGCTAGTCGGTTCGGCCTGGACTCGCGCGCGCCGAGATGGGAACCCAACACACGGCGCGTCGACCCGCCTACGCTTTTGCAACAAAGTCTGCTTGGCTTGTGCAGGTGATGCCCAGAGCAGCAGAGACGACGCCGGCAGCCTCGGCTCGACCTCGAAGGCGGATCTCGTGGCCAAAAACCTGTGCTCTATTCGTCGGTGGTTCACAGTAGACGTCTGTGTAGGGAAGCTCTCGCGTCGACTACGGCCGCCGAAGACTGTCTATGAGGGCACACCCGAGGAGGCGCCGATTTCAAGCACCGTGCGGCGGTGTCCAGGTCACAGGCATCGGCTGTGACACTGGAGAGTCGAGCAGCGGCACTGAACTTCCCTACAGGTCATTCCAGCGACCCACGGAGTACGGTCTCAGTGCGCAATCACTCTACTAGATCCCATCCTTGCCGGGCCTCTGCGAATGTAGGTACCGA